CTTGTTCGACTAACATGTTCTCTGTATTAGTGAGCCATTTCAGCAGTGATTCTAACAAAGCAGCATTCTGTCGTACTGCCTGCAGGCCATCATTCAAACGAGCTCCTCGCTGTTTGCACCAAGACGTAAGCTGCAAAGAGAATAGACAAGGCAATACCTTCCTTAAAATCAATGTTTTTTTATAGTATTAATAAAATTATTTTTTAAAACTCCAAAAGGAATCATAAATATGTAGGAATATATTTATGAAAACATTGCTTGAATTTGTCTCACTTAAAAGGATTGTAACAAATATAAAAAACAAAATATTTTCAAAAATTAAGACATTATTCCAGTTATAGGGTTTATTTAATCAATATTCTGAATAATATCTTCAAAGCATAGCTTTTTAAATAGCTCAATAGAAAAAGATTGAAATATGCTAGTGAATAATTCTAGACACTAAAGTAAACAAGCATCAAGAAACATTTTCTTTATATAATGCAAACAGAACAATTCTTTTGTTGTCAGTTACAACACAGTTATGAAGGTCCTCACTCCAAAGAACCACCTAAATTCTGGTGGTCTTTAGTGAGTAAAGTTGAGAATATGATGATGATGGTTATGGAAATCTTTTTGTAACCTTTTACATAAATGCTAACCAAAAAAGAAAAAAAATTTCTTGCATCTTCAAAGATAAAGAAGTGTAAAACTAGAAGTAATGTATGCATTTCAAAAACAAAAATGCAATCATTCAAAACATCTTAAAATTATTAGCAAATAAGTTTAAACAATTAAGTTCAATTTTCATAGTACACAACATAAATTCATATAGCTGATAGAAAATACTCAGAATCACATTTTTCATATTCTTAAAATTATTATATCATCAAGCAACTTGTAAAAATTTATAGATAATTATGTTGAAGCTAAAAACTTAAAATTTTGCGATTTGATTTATTCATTTATATAGTAGTGATCACAGGAGTAAACTACATATTAATGAAAGTACGGCATCCCATTCCCTGATTTACAAAACAACTTGAAGATGCTATGAAATTTATCATGATCAATAATAATTTTAAAAATCAAAAACTACCAAATCTAGCAACATTAAAGAGAAGTAAATATATATATTTCTTTCTTTCAAAATAATCATAGAAAATCTAGAAATACAAATGAAGTGACTTACTTCTTCCCAGCGAGCACGTAGGACGGACAACCATTGTTTGAGAGAAGACAAGGAATCAGGGTGACATCTTGTCACTATCTCTTGACCAATTGCTAAGGCTTCACGTAAGTGGGTTTCTTTTCGAAGGAGGTTTTCTTCAAATTTCTGAAAGGAAGATGTCATTTAAATAAAATTAACTTCAAGATAAAATAATAGCTACCATACATGCCATAGTTGCCAAGATAGACAAAATGTTACAGTTAGCAAAATAATCTCTTAAGTTTTAATATTAAAGCAAAGGTCATCAAGTATGACAGAAACAAAGATTTCTGAATGCAACTTTATCAAAATTTAGAATGGGTGAATAAGTGCATAATTATTACAAAATTTATGCATTTATATCAAATGAAATATACAGGAGTACTTATTAAATGTACTAAAATAGTACTAGAACTTTCAAACGAATACAAAACATTCCTAATTGTCAGAAACAAGAAAAATATTTTGTTGCATTTAGAAGAAAATGTAGAAGAAAATTACCTTGTGCTCTTCTTTCTGTTTAAGTAAGGAAGCTTCATCATCAGGGAATGAGCCTTGGTAACGTAATTGTCTTTCAGCTTCAGCAAGCCAATCCAATAAGCTCTGGGCTTTTTTATGGAAATCATCAGCCTTGGAAATAAAACATAGAATTTATTATAATTAAAAAAAAAAAAAAAAATTTAAAAAGAAAACATAATGCAATTCTACATACACAGTTCAAATGAAAAAGAATTATATAGATTTCTCCAAAGTTTGAAATGCATCTAAACCAGAGTTTATTTCCAAGTTATAAAAATTATCTTACAATAAAATTTGCCACAATGTAAAAAAAAAAAAAAAAAAAATGAAAACTTGGGAATCCAAAATTTAGGGATTGCAGTTCTCCAGTTCCCCAATCTGAGCCACTGTCCATTACTCTACTAAATACCAAGTTACAAAAGTACACAACTTATTCTGAATATATTTTTGTAAGAAAAAGGGAAATAAAGCAAAATAACACCTGTGCATATGAATGATTTACTGTATAATATCTGCACTGAACTTTGCACACATTTTTAACAAACAGTGGTTGCTCAGGAGGCAAAACATGATGTCCTATCACTAAAACTCATTACTGTACACCTGGACACCAACCCAGGTATTTCTATGTCCTTGCACATTTTATTTGCTAGATGGCTGTTTATACAGCAAGAAGATTAATCTGCCTTTTGACAGGTTTTGGCTTTTAGTCCTGCTGTGTCTCTAGCCTGGTGAGGGAACCAATTTAGTTATGTATGATCCAACCATGTAGCAAGTAGTGCTGGGTTATACAACACCAGTAGCACTCAGAGAATGACCAACTTTTGAATGTCAACCCCTTTTTTAGGCCATGTTAAATTTTATGAGGCATCCACTGAGGATTGAACCCACTACTTAATACTAATGGTCAATTAGACTAACCATTATGCCATGTCAAGGCACATTAAACCAACAAGTCATTTAATGATAATCAGTTGGTGATATGTTATAAAAGTAACTTAGCAGAAACAAAGCTGCATGCATTGAATATATTTAGATAACATCTTTCTTCTTATTAACATATAATGCAGGTAATATAAGAAAATTCATAAAAACTGAAAGGTAAAATTAATAAGCAGATAATCATCTTACAAGAGACCAATGGATCAGAATTTAACACTAAGTTGTATAAATTTAGATATAACTAAGTGTAACACGTTTCATCTATTAGGACTTCATCAGACTGGGTTTGTTTACCTTGTACACATGTACATGAATGAGGGATGCTGAGATATAATTTCTAAATAAATAATTTCTAAATACCTTCTGTTAAATGGAATTATTTATTATCAATAGCAAGAAATGTATTTAACATTATCTGAAATGTACATTAATTTTTCCCAAAGTGTTGGATGGGAATTACAGAGGCTTGGCAAGGGGTAGGAGAGAGAAATGCTACATTATAAATTTCTGGTATTTATAAGAATGTAAATGTGATATACTTGTTAATGTGTTTTTTTGTTTTTTTTTTTAAAACCTAAGATAAATCCACCAAAAGATTTATTTATTAACATATCTGAGAAATATTTTATAGTAGTATTTAAGCTAATCATTAAATTTCTCAGTAATAGAGCAATGGAAATGTGAATAAACCTAAAAACTTATCTTTTGGGGGTAATTTATATAAATAATTTTAGATACCCAACAAACATAGATATTTTTCACCTGTGATCTTTTTGGTCCTGAAAGTAAAGAATATTTTCTTGGAAGAGCAGTAACAAAATTTTTAAGCTTACCATTCTTTGAGCTTGTTCTAAGCGTTCTTGCTTATTAACACTGAGTGTACAAATGCGATCCCACAGTGTGGTCAGCTCTATAAGCTGGGCTTGTTGCTGAGTTGTATCTTCCTCAGATTTCTCTATAAGCTCTTTAGCAGCTTTTCGGACAAACTGGACAGTGTTGGATCTAGCACCCAGTTCTTGTTGGAAGGCCTATAAAATACAAAAAGGCAACCATATTGTCATTTAGTAACCCAAAATTCACTATTTTACAATCAACTCATAGAAAATTCACACATATACTAATTTGGAGCTGTTTATTTAAATAATTTTTTTAATTTCAAAGTTTTAATGATTTTCTGATATTTAAAAGTCATACTCTGAGATGAAACAATTTTATAACAATATTAACCTTTTGTTTGTTATCACATACAAAAGTACATTTTTACATCTCCATAGATTGTATACTTGTAAAAGAGAGCAGTAATAATATTAAAATAGTTTATGAAATTATTCAAACCAGAATATAGACTATATAACAATCAATTGCAGGTTTGGTGAGAAAAAGTAGTCCAAAATCCTTCAACTAATAAACAACATGACAAGCTAATCTTGCTTCCAGTGAAAAATCAATCAAGATTCTGTAATGTGAATGCAAGAATACCGTTAATAAAATACATTATCATTTTCACTTTTACTGCAGAAGCAATTTAAATTAAGTGTAGATGAGAATGTATAATTCAGTCAGATTTTCAGTCAGCAACAAAGGTAAAGTTGATTTATTTCACTAATATCATGTAAGAAATTTGCTACTTACTTTATGTGCTTCAATGAGATTGTTGACCGTTTCGATATCCCCATGAACAGGCTGTTCTTCAGACAATCCAGGCTCGGCTTTCGAGAGCCAGTCCAAGAGGGCTTGAAGTGCCTCATTAAACTGACCAGAAAACAACAGAGCTTCTTCCAAATTTCTTTGCCTGGAAATAACAACAATAAAAAAATACTTGTAAATCAGAAACAAAATCTTGTAAATACACTTAATAGAAAAAAAAAAAAAGAAAAAGATAAATTACAAGGAGCTACACATAAAAATGTTGAATGATAAACATTGTTGTCAAATTTGAAGCAAGCAATATACTGGTAAAATTTATTTCGATGATATTCATAGTAACCAAAATGACAGTTTAAGATGTTTAGTTAACAATTGATATAAAGCAGTGTGTGTGTGTGTGTGTGTGTGTGTGTGTGTTGTGATTCATTCATTCATTCGTTTTCTACAGCTTATCAACCTTTTGCAGGTTATTTAAAACCAGAAAATATTTTTTAGATCACAAGAATTTTTTTGAAGATAATAATGGTTTAATACTACAAGTCTTACTAATTAACCCATAGCTGGGAGGAGAAGAGATGGAATCATACCTTTCCCAAGGGTATTTGCATGTAAGTGAATATAACAAACTCAAATGGAATTGGAACTTGGCTCTCTGATTAACAATTCTGAGCCATTATCTATTACATCACTTGCACATCCAAACTTACAGCATCTGGTATTCCCAAGTAGTCACCCATCTAGGTACTAACCAAGCTCAATGTTGCTTAACTTCAGTGATCATACAGGAATTTGTGTTTCAACATGATGTGGCCATAAGCCATGTCTGTATGTGCATGTGTAGAATTAATGGATTTATTTTTAATTTAACATTTTTTATTACTTCAAACGTTATTTTTAGTGGATGTCCATATCTTATTTTAAACAGTGTTTATTACATTTATTGGTTTACACACTTGAAAAATCTAAGAAAATGTGCTTTCTGTCAGGGTTTGAACCTGCACCTCCCTTTGTAGGAGAAATCACCATTTGGTTTTAGACTGCTCGGCCACAGAGAGTGAACAGCCTAGAAAAGTTCTATTTCTCTTTTAAGGAAGTACATTTCGTTATTCAGATTTTTCTGAAAAGCCCATATCTACTCAGTTTCATATACAAAAATGTAAACAAAGCAATACTGAAAGCATGAATTAATGGATTTAATTTTAATTGGAAATATTTTTATTATTGCAAATGAAGTATATCCACTAAAAAATAAGGTTTGAAGTAATAGAATATATATATATATATATATATATATATATATATATATATATAAATAAAAACACAGATACTACACACTGACTCCAGACAAAAGTGATGAGAGCAATACTTTGATCATAGGGAAAGCATGGATCTATACATAAATAATTACACCATTGCTTGTATTTTTTTTATTAAAGAAAAAAAATTTCATTTTCATAGTGTTTTTTTTTTAATCATAATATAAAAACAAAATTATCTAACATCATATATAATGCTATTTTTTGATAACTTGAATATTAAAAATATGAGTCTTAATGAAATATTACTGGCTTTCAATGTATAAGGAGATTATGATGAGTATTTGTACACTTATATCATTAGTGAAACTCAGAATAATATTGGAATTATGTTTATTGTAGTCTGTTCAAGACTTTAATCAAATAAAAATAGCTAAAAATCACAAGGTTTTAATAGACTCAATTTCACAGTCATTAACAAATTTAATGTGATAATACAAAGCTAAAATAATCAAGTAACGACAACAATACATGATACATGTATCAATTTCTTGAAAATTTCACTAATAACCACTTGGTGTTTACAGTAGATAAAAGAATGAATATTAAAATTGGAGCAAAGAAAATAAAAATTATTTTTTTCATAAAGCAATGTGTAAGTTGTCAGTTCAGTTTAGGTATTTTTTTAAATTTAATTTTCTTTTAAATTTTAAAATGTAAACGGATAAACTTGAAATTTAAAAATAAATGTCTATAAAAAAAAATTCATTTTTAAAAACATTGAGCCTTGAAATAATTTAGCATTTCATTTGTAATAATGTTATTGTCAAAAATATTGTTTCAGCCTGAAAATGCAAAATAAAACCAAAAATAAACAAGAATAATTTATACAAAAGAAAGATCTTTGCACATACCTGGATACGGATTTTCCACAAACAACATTCCACCTGTTTTTGAGTTCACCCAACATCTGCTGTATAACAGGAACATCATCTTTTGGACAACGGTCTTTAAGGCAACGGGCTGTGCGATTAATTGTATCATATACTGGTTGCTTAGCACCCAAATTCCGTTGGAATTCCTAGAAAGTGAAAAAGAATGACATTCTTCTAATTTAGTCAAAGCAAATAAATTAAAAATGTCATTTCTTCCTATATTTAGAAAGAACAAAAAATAAAAAAAGCTTGAATATATTAATGGCTCAATAAAAGTTCATATATAAATATCAATATCTTCAAAGATAATTTTTATATAAATATCAGAGTTCATTCATTTTTTTTTTAAATGAAAAATCAGCATTTAATTCTGGCTTTTACCTAGATTTGAACACTATTATCCAAGGGAAATACTTAACTATTTCTAATAAAACTGGCCATAACTCAGTTATTTTAAATTTTATTTTAAGCCATGGTAGAAATGCACCTGGCAAAGGTCAAACATACTACATAAGTGGATTTGAATGAAATGATCTTGCTAACTATTATGTAACTTATCAAACACTTAAACATGCTATAATAAATTATCTAACAATTATTACTATTACAGGATATCAAATAGGAAAATGAAAAATTTTAATTTTGCATTAACTTTAATGGCTGATCATGCAGTAAGGCTAGTATTGAAGATTGTTTATTTCTTTTGAATTGAAGAAAATAAAAATTTTTAAAATTATGACATGAAGAATGCTTTTTCATCTGAATAGCAATTCTATTTAAGTAAATTACAAATATTAAGTTTTTTTAATGCTCAATAAGATGAAAGAAAATAAAACCTTCAAATTTTTAAAAAATTTGATGTTGCATAAATAGTCAATTTCTATCATTAACAAATTACCAGAATAATAAGTTTTCAATGATATTTCTTGGTATTTAAGAACATTAGAAAGCAAAATGATGAAACCAAATTATTAAAATGCAAAATTTAACAATTACCATGAAAACTTTTACTAATTGAAAAATAAGAAACAAGACAAAAAGGATTTTTTTTTAAAATTATATTTTTTTTTTTTTGTAAATGATAATTACCTTGTGTTTAGCAATTTGCACTTTGATTTTAGCGGGGTCATTGCTAGTAGACGTGTCTGCATCAAGAACTTTTTCAGCATCATTCAGCCAGTCAAGAAGATCTTTCCATAATGAATGGAACTGAAAAGACAAGACAGATAGTAAATCACCATAAATCTACATTACAACTAACTCTAATTTTACACACACACACACTCTCGAGATTATGTAATTCTTACAGAATTTGGTGAGAAGAATTTCAGTAGTTTGCTCTTGGTCAAAAACAAATGGGTCGACCAAAGCATCAAAGGAATCAACATGTTTTACTTTGTTTTCTAGCATCTAGAAATGGCAATCTGTTAGCTGTCCAGTTTTCAGCAAAAGCCAGGTGTGACATAGACAGGAAGTCAATAGTTATTTGTCAACAGGACAAATATAGTAGCAATTGTTCAAAATGTGCAAATGCATAGTTAGGTTACTACCCTCCCATCAGTCACACAATTTAGTCATGCCTTAACTTTGTTTACATATTGATAAAGCTATCAAGTTAATAATATATACTAAATGGAATCTGTTTTGTCTTAAATATATTATTAAAGAAAAAAAAAAGCAAGCAAAATAAAATAAGTTCTTTTTTTCTTCTTATTGGATATAGAAATTTTTGTTGTGTTCTTTTGCTTAGATAAGATGCCATTTACTTTGTCCTTCCATTAACAATTTCAGAGTACTGGTTGAACAACTCCTCAGTAATCAACCACAGTGGGTTAATTTTATCTCACATGACACACAAGGTGTTCATTGCTTCAACTGATTACTTGAACACTATCATTAACAGATATGTACACTGGACTTAATGACTGGGGCACAGACTAACCTACATACACATAAAAAAGCCATAAACAAACCTACTGGTTATCTATTGTCGGCAACTGGAAAGCTAAAATTTGAGACTATCATTATACTAATCTATATGCATTCCAAATGCAGATATCCCTATTGAAATGATTCAATAGATTTTTTGCAAGTGGCTATTGGAAGCTGTGAAAAGATCAGGTATTTAAATGTGACTTCTTGAAATAAAGAACTAAAACAGAAAAATATGAATATGATTTACTATTTGCACAAATCAATTTTACCTTCTAATTCTTTTATTTATGGGATCTAGAATGATAGTATCAACTAATTAAAAAGGTGACTATCCAATAATCTAATATTGAATCGTCACTTTTTAATCTGTTCATAACTAAACATGAACAAATATATTTATAGATAATTTGAATACATTAATTTTTCTTTAATCAGTTCTTATGAGATATATCAGTAAAATATTTTTGGATTTAAATATTTAAAATATTTGCATTGAAGTGCATGACTTGACTATCAAATATTTTGGTGAAGAATATTAAATTTATTCAATAAATAAAAGTTACTTATATTTAAACTTACATCTTTCAAGAAATTAGTTGAAAAAGGAAGTTGTTATAATTATTAAAAGTAGTAATATTAAGTGAATTAAGAAAAATTCAAGAAAAGTTTTTTTAATCAATAAGTCTCACAAATCTAAAATAATGTTGAGTAATTTGTTTTGGCATTATTGATTCATTTGTTTTTTTATGGCCCATTAACCTTTTGCAGGTTATTTAAATCCAGAAAATATTTCTAGATTTTAAGAGGTTTTTGGAGATAATAATTTACTGATAAAAGATCTACTAATTAACCTATAGCTGGAGAAGAAAATGTGGATTCATACTTTTCCCAAGGGTATTTGTACATAAGTGAATATAACAAACCCAACTGGAACTCGGCTCTCTGATTTCCAATTCTGAGCTGTTATCATTACACTGCTCATACATCCAAGCTTACAGCCACCTGGTATTCCCAAGTGGTCACTAATCTAGATAGTGACCAGGTTTGATGTTGCTTAACTTTGATGATTGTACAAGAACTGGTGTTTCAAGAAGATATGGCTGTAAGCCTGAGTATTTTGAAAGTAAGGCAATCATAAAATATAGTTTATGATAAATAGTGAATATTGTGCAAAATATTGGTTGGACCTCTTTAAACATGAATTCTTAGTTGTAGCTTTTAATTAAAAAAAAAAAAAAAAAAAACCCCGAAATTTCTCCAGCCGTGTGCGCGTGTGTGTATGTATGTGAGATGTAACATCACAAACATTAGTATTTTGTGTGATAACATTACTAAAGTTGAAGAATTTACAGAAAAAAAATGTCTTTTTGAAGCCTCTTATGAGAAAAGGTTAAAGATGAAAGTCTTATCAGCACCACAAAAGGCAGTGCTGAATATGAAACATATTAGTAATTATAATACAAAGGGAAAAATAAAGATACCTGTCTAGCCTCTTTGTAGCCACGTTCCAAATGGCGTGTTCTCTCTGCACTCCTTGATACAATTTTTTCCCATCTGTGCTGCACACTGGACAGGAGATTTTTTATGAGAATAACATCCTGTTTTTGGCTGAAATATTTTAGGTGGGTACCTCTCTTATCCAAAGCAATCATAGCATCCCGATTGCGGGCAATATCTTTTTGCAGGTTC